TTACCATCAGGCACACGACTTGTTCGTCCCGTTACTTAATGTCATAAAAAATAAAAAAAAATAAAAAAAACTTGTGTTACGAAAATGGAAACACCTACGTTACCACAAGCGCCCAACTCGTAGATTTTCTACATTGACCCGGGACCTCAGAGATGGCGACATCATGAAAACCAGTGTGCAAATAGCCGCGCGAGGCTGCCTCGCTTCAAAATCAACGTGGCGAGGCTGCCTCGCGAAGTAAAGCCAACCAAGCATTTGATCGCTCAGTCAGTAGGCGGCTATTCGACCACAGAGGTTTTTGTTTTAGACACCCTGACTTTTTAGTATAGATTTCTTTACAAATACATCAATTTGAAATGTGTTTTTCACAGCTAACACATTGCTGCTCACTTTGATAAGTTTAGTTGTGCCGTGAGAAACTATTAAGTTTTATAATATATTTATATAACCGAGTGTCTCCATTTATATTGTTAATTGTGAAATGATTACTTCATAGGTTATTTGTATGTTTATTATATGAAAGTATTATGCAAGTGTCCGTATAATGTGGATTATTCAATGGAAAGTCCATATTTTGGTCACGACCTGCTTTAATGGGATTAACTCTTGTGGGTCTACATTAACGTCTCATGCACCCCTATTTTTTTTTTCACCAACATAGCTCCTTGTGTGTTGAAGTGGGGGTCGATATAGACAACTTTGGGAATCATCACCCTGGAACTACAAATAAGAATAGACTAGAAAAAAAAATACTTAGAACTATTACATATTTAACATTATAAACCTGACACCGAATTTTCAACTTTCGTTGAAAATTACGTATATGAGAATAAAAATATAAAATCAAAGAAAATATTTACGGTATTTTTTGCTAAAACTTCAGCGTTGTTTTAAGGAAATAATACTACCAGAAAACGAAAGACATGTGTTAGTGTAGGATCGACACGTCTTGTATAATTAGTCTATTTTCTATTAAGTTGTTCTTTGTCAGTGGTAAACTAAACAAATGCGGAATAATAATAGTTCACCTAAATATCGATACTGCCCACATACGTTGTTGTTAGTCTCAAAATAGCATTGTTTACTTTTTAACTTAATATATATTTTTGTGGCATGTATGGAATTATCATTTTAAACTTGCAAAAGCAACAGATAAAAATCTAAACGGTCATCTTTTTTAATGACTGATCCTATTTATCTAACACATAAAATAAATTAAATCATTTTTAAGAAATTGAAATAAATTAAATCATTTTTAAGAAATTGAAATAAATTAAATCAATTTTAATCAATTTCAATCTGTTCTGAGCTACGCAAAGAATGTTTTATTTGTATAAATTTAACTTTGATAGTTTCAGTTGGGACTAGCAATGAGGTACCCTCTTTTTTTTCAACACAAAAAGAATCTTCAAAGTCGTTTCACAAATGCCGGAGTAATCGCGTAACATACGTAATACAACACATACACACAAAAAAACGGTCGAATTGAGAAACTCCTCTTTTTTTAAGAAGGTCAAAAATAATTTAATACGAAACGTGCAACAATTGCGTTTTTGCGTAGTTTTTGTTGAAGCTTAATATTATTTAATTTTTGATAAACATCGGTTCAGCTGTTCGAAGATCATCAGCTGTTTTTTCAGTTAGTGTAGGGATTTCAGTTACTTCTACTGCTGACGACCTCGATGGCCCAACGGTTTATACTATGAGAAGGTCCCTTCGATTCCCTATAGAACCAAATTGGGAAAAGACCTTTTCTAAATTGCTTCTAGTCTGGGTGTTCTGGAAAGTGCCCCAAAGTGAATTCCGTTGCTCTGGCACTTACAGTTACCATGCTGGACTGCCACGCAGATGTCCCGGGTTCGATTCCGGGAGAAATATTTGTATAGCTTACATTTATTTCTGTCGTGAGTTTTGGTGTAATTTGTGGTTATCTATGTGTGTGTTTGTCGCACCCGTGGTTTCCCTAGTGCGGGGCTAGGGATCATCATTATCATCATTATTATTATTATTATGATGATGGTGATGATGATGATGATGATGACGATTATTATTATTATTATAAGAAGTGACGGGATGAACAAGTCGTGCGCCTGATGGTAAGCTATACAAGCCTGTCCATAACAGTTACGGTTCCACTCAGGGTTTTAAATCACAAAGATTTGAGGAGCACTGCCAGTGCGTCTGTCATCCAGAGACATAAGTTGTCAAGTTCCATGTGCCTGTAATTTCAGCAGCACCCTTACCCATCCAAACCGGAACGTAATAATGCTCACGTTACTGCTTGGCGACAGAAATAGCTAAGATTGCCATCTTAGCTATTTCTGTCGCCAAGTACTTCACTGGACGAACTCTTACACAAGAAGCTCTACTGCTACTAAATGTGTATCTATGTGTGTGTCCGTGCCACACACGATACAGGGTTTCCCTAGTGCTATGAGTGTGTGGGTTATTATTATCATTGATTCCCTAATTTGAGACCAGGCAATTGGTGTGGCTGTATGGCACACATTACTTCCACTTGTCCGATCGATTTGAAATTAGGTACAATTTGGTAGTCTTAATCCGATTCTACCAGAACTTCTTCAACTACTTGCAACAAAAACTGTTTGGGATCATTGAATTGGTCTCGACGAGTAATACGTACACACAATGGTGACTTTTCCCTTACTTTATTTTTTATTTAAACAACCGGAGAGCTGAGTTCAGAATAAATAACAGGGTTCATAACATGACAAATAAAAATAGATATGATCAATGTTTATAAATAACTATGATACATTATTTACACACAATATAAAATATACATACGAGAGATATATATACCATGTACAGGGTGTAACCAAAAGGCGCAGTGGAAATTCAAGGTCGTAGAGAGCCACTATCAAATAGTAAATTGGCATCGATTTGTGTTGAATATTATGACTAATTTTTATATTATGTCTATTATTACTTTATTGACTCTTTAGAGTTCGCTGTTTTGTATTGGGTTTTTTTAATTTAAATTTATGTTTTATAACTCTCTATAACAACTTATTTACCATTTGAAACGACATCTTAAACAGTCCTATACTAAAATCGAACGCAATAACACTTCCCTTTATGCAACGCCACTTATTTACTTGTAAGTCACGTACAACAAACGCAAGCAGTCGATACCGACACAATTTGAATCGAACAAACAAACAATATAGATGGCACCAACGAAAGAGACAGATATTTTAATTTTCCGAACGACACCCCGATTCACATTATCAACCTACATCCCATTGCTAGCCACAGATCACCTCTAAAGATATTTCAAATAATACTAACATAAATGCCTCAATGGCCGAACGGTTACCAAGCTAGCCTGACACGCTGAGGTTTATACAGTGGGCGCTGGATGTGAAGGTCCTGAGGTCGATTCCCAGAATCGAAGCTAATTTGGTATTAGGAAATGACCTATTATAAATTGCTTCTCGTCTGGGTGTTCTGAAAAATGCCTCAAAGTGAATTCCGTTCCTCTGATACTCATAGTACAGTTAATTATTCATAGTACATAATTTAACTGCGTCTGTGGCCGATCAGTTACCTGCTGGACTGCCACGCAAAGATCCGTGTTCGATTCTTGACTTATGTGCTTTAGCCAGTAGATGTATTAATTCAAATGAATGATGTTGCATTTTAGATTTATGTACTTTAGTCCGCCGACCCTAGAAATATTTGTATGGCTAACATTTATTTCTCTCGTGAGTTTGAGTGTAATTTGTGGTATTATATGTGTGTGTGTGTGTCGATGGTACCCACGACAAAGGGTTTCCCTGGTGCGGGGCTAGCGTTATTTATTTATCCCCCATAGCAATGGCCCAATGCAGCTTGGAAAGTAGACGTATTTTCGAACCGTTATATACAAGGTTCTCCAAAATTCAACGTCAAGTGGGTGCCGGGCAAGAGTCCGGGGTACATCAGTTCTGGTAAAAATAAAATAAAAATCCATTTCAAATATTTAAGTTATAATAGACATATGTTCGAAAATGTTGAAAATCGGTACCTGTACCATATTTTTATGTAGGTACTCCCGTCGCAAATTTTCAAATTTGCATTGTTTTTTTAACGTAATCCTAAATATGTCTAATTAAAAAACCCATATATAGTAAAACCCATTTTTTGGCGAATTAAATTCTTTTTTTCAACTTATTCATTTCAAAGTACAGTCTCCAAAATTGTAGAATAGGATTTGTATGTGAGACAATGAAAAATAACATTCTTATTACAGCATTGGACACCGAGTTCATTGGACACCGAGTTCCTTTGACTCTATTAATACTTTTCATACAATGATACTTCAGTAGTCACTGCTTTCATTCGATTTAAAAATCTTCCAATTACTATCAAACGTCAATCAACTGTCATAATGTCAAAAGAAGTCATTCATTTATAAGAATTTTCCAAAAAAAAAATCAAAATTCATGAAGGGATGTCATGATAACTATGCAAATAATAACTCTCGTCATATTTCCACTATTGATAACTACCTCAAACACAGAATCATTTCAATATGCTTTTTACAGGAGTATGAATGAATCAAAACTTGATGGAACCAGACGTATATTCGGTGGTGATCCTGTGGAATTGAATGAATATTCGGCTGTTTGTGCTTTAATTGACCCTCATAAGATTATTAGATGTACTGGAGCTATAGTGACGAAATTCTGGGTTTTAACAGCAGCTCACTGTGTCACGTCCAAAGTCGCTTTCGTAAAATACAATTCGCGGTGGTCGAACGATGTACGATCGAAATCTTCTCCTGTCATGTATATGTATCGACATCCTGAGTAAGTAACAAACTGATAATGTTATTTACGACACTCAAATTCTCTACGTATGAATTTTCGAAAGACTTTCAATCTATTCTTATTAACTAATATTCCTGTAGGAAATGCAACTATTTTTTCGAATATAAATCACGTATTTACTTATTTGTTTTTTGGAACAAACCAGTCAGCCGTGACCATGGCTCCTGTAAAAGACTCGAAACGGTTTGTTTGAAAAAACAAATATACGCCATTTAGATACGAAAAAAAGTTTAAACTCCATGTCTAACAATCGCAAAAACCTGACAATATCTATACTCAAAAACCTAAAACTCGATAATACTCCTGTGTTGTTTTTATCTGTACATAGTAGTTCCATAATTGATACGTGTAAGTACAATTTTTTTAATTTTTTTTTCTTATTGTGTGCTCCAAAATATTAGTCCGTTTCTACTTAGCACTTCGATTAGCACTAAAAAGGTAGCATTCATCATCAACATCGTACATAATTAGTAAATTTAGTAGCGAAATAATTACGTTGTCAAAGAGTTCGTCCTGAGAACTACTGTCATCATACATTCTGCCGCCAAGCAATAATGTGAGCATTACTGCGTTCCCGTTTCAAAGGGATGCTCGTGAAATTACAGGCGAATGGAACTTGTTAACTTTATGTATCAGGGTCGGGTACGGTGCGGAGGATCACAGATCTTTGCGATTTAAAGCTCCGGGTGACACGTGAACTGTTATAATGCACAACTTGTTCGTCGTTGTGACATCATCATAATAAATAATTTTAAGTTTTTATAAAGAAAAATCTGACCTCAAAAATTCGTGGAATTACATCTATTTGCCAAGTTTTAGTGAGTTTGGGTGTAATTTGTGGTTGTCTATGTGTGTGTCCATGGCACCCGCGACACAGGGTTTCCCTAGTACACGGCTATGTGGAGTGTGTGCATTATTATTATATTATTATTATTGAAATCGGTTACCGGAAAGTGCCGGATTCATCCTCTAGTTTGCCACCCTTAGAGGTGGAATATAGTCTTCAAATTGAAATATAATAAATAATCTTTTTAATTTGAAATTTACCCTGTTTCAAAAGCAATGTTCCTCCATAGTAAAATATATTTATTATATATGGCCAACATACCTATTTCTGCCGCCAACTGGTAATGTGAATATGCGTTCTGGTTTTGAAGGGTAGGGGTGTTGGTGAAATTACAAGCATAGGACTTGTCGACTCATGTTACGGGTACAGTGGCAGCACCTCTCAGATTTTTAAGATTTAAAGCTCTGAGTGGCACTGCAACTGCAATAGACCGGCGTGTCACTCACCACCCGGCACATGACTTGTTCGTCCCGTCACTTGGTATTATTGAAAAAATGCACTAAAGCGTTCTAAGTACTAATTGAAGACAGATAATAAATTTAACGTATTTTTAGTTACAGGGTGATAGAAGAAGATGAGGGGCGTGGCATGGACGTAACCTTACTCCATCATGATATAGGCATGGTGCGAACTCAATACGCCATGATACTTAGTAGCCTTCCAAAAGCAGATCCTCTCATAAGCATGAAACGCTTCAACCCTATAGATTTAAAGAAGGAAGAAGTAACGGTAGGCGCAGTTCATACACAATAGATCGGATCGATGTCCGTCACTCATCTCATCTCAGGGCTCATTGAAAACTAGCACCACAGTCAATTATGGCTGTGACATAAGCTAAATGAAGTCCTTTTGCGTACGCCACAACCTCACAAATAACAGTACAACATTTGTAGTCGTTATATTTAGGTTTTTTTTTGCCTTTTTGTTCTATTTTATATTGTTTTTTTTTTGTTTTTTTTATTATGTTTATTGATTCTCTTTATTTGTTTGTGTTATCAATATTCTTCGTTTTTTGTATCTATGTGTTGTGGCGTTGCAATAAATATCTATTCTATTCTATTCTATACCACCATTCAACACTACGCCAACTTAATTGTTCAATCTATTTTCTGTTTTTATTTTGTTTCATTTTTATCGTAAAATTCGTTTTATTAAATATCTTTTTAAATATCATGGTGTTCAAATATCGTGAACATTGAATAAAACTTAAGAAATCGTTTTATTTTCAAATTTTGTTTTTTGCTTCTTTTTTTCACTAAATTCTGGGGCATTATTAGTATATAAATATGGCTGTTTACAAAAAATAACAGAAAATGACTGAAAAATTGTATTTATCGAAATAATATTCTGTAAAAAAAAATAAAAGAAATTATTGTGGATGTGCAAAGCTGCTGCCGTTCTTATGTAAGGATGTTCCTAAGTGAAACTAGGATTCAAGTGTAATGTTTTATGTTTAAGCACTTGGTTAGGTAGTAAAGTCGCTTAATGGTGGCAGGTCAAAACTACCGCCTCTCACGCACAGGCCATGGATTCAAATCCGGGCTCGCGCCTCAATTTAATTTGGAATTTGCCATGAGCTTTTCGGTAAAGTAAAACATCGTGATGAAACTGCACATCGAAAAAGGTTCACAACCCTCGGAAAACCTGTGACGTTGCCAACCCGCATTGGGTCAGCGTGGCGGACCGTGGCTTAAACCTTCGCATGAGAGCAGACCCGTACCCTGCAGTGGGACGTATAATGACTATTCACTCATGCCTTGAAAAGGCCCAAGTCGTACCGTTTAAGGAAGAAGTATTTATTGTCCTGGCCTGATTTACGTGATTACTCACCTTTTTTAAACAGATACTGGGTTTTGGCCGCAAAGAACAGGACGGGCCGCCAGATTTCAGAGGAGAGGCATTGTTCAGTGTAAATCTTCAATTGACTTTCTGTGAACGTGGTTCATGGTTCCATTGCATTTGTGGCATTGCTAGTCCAGTCGTAAGATCTCAAGGAGGTGGTGTTTGTACTGGGGATTCTGGAGGACCAGTCCTTTATCGTGGATCGCAGGTACATTATTTCATTGATAGCCTAGCTAGGAGAACGTTTGCTCTCTATGTTGTAGTCCGATTTCCACAAGAGCCTGCATAATCGAGTCTATTCTAATCATGCGCAGCAATGTTTACTAAATTTCCAAACGGGACAAGTCGTACGATTGGTGGTAAGCAACACACCTATCCATAGCAGCTGCAGTGCCACTCAGAGCTTAAAATCGCAAAGATCTCAGGGGCACTACACCCACTGCTCATTACTCACATTACAGGAATTATTTATAATAACTTTAACTGCCTCTGTGGCCGAACGTTTACCATGCTGGAGTTCCACGCAGAAAACCCGGGTTCGATTCCCGGCCGGAGAAATTTGTATAGCCTACATTTATTTATCTCGTGAGTTCCGGTGTGATTGGTGGTTATCTATATGTATGTCGATGGCACCCGGGAAACAGGGTTTCCTTAGTGCGTGGCTAAGAATGTGTGCGTTATTATTATTATTAGTAATTTATTTTATCATATCAAGTGACGAGACGAGCAAGTCGTGCATGGTAAGCTACAAGCCCGTCCATAACAGTTGTAATACCACTCATAGTTTTAAATTACAAAGATCTGAGGAGCACTGCCAGTGCGCCTGTCACCCTGAGACAGAAGTTGACAAGTCCCATGTACCTGTAATTTCAATAGAACCCTTACCCTTGAAAACCGGAACGCAGTAATGCTCACATTACTGCTTGGAGGCAGAAATAGGTCAGTTGCAATACTTCCCTGAACGAACTCTTTCACAAGGAGCTCTTAAATTTACACTTGAAAATACATTTCCTAAGCTTCCCTGAGAAGAACGAGCAAGAAACTATAGGGGTTTTCAAATAAACTTAAATGCTATGGAAAACACTTTGAATCAAAATTATGTGGAATCTAGAGCCATGTCGTCTTTCCATAGATCGAATTTTGTAAGACATTTCCATTAAAATACTTTCAATGTAAGATTTAAATTTTATAACTAAAGTCTCTCGAGTCTCGCAGTGAGATGTACAGATTTGATGATGATTATTTCGGTATTATTCCGTACCATCGAGAATATAACCAGAAATAGAGACGATATAAGAGCCATCCATCCCTGGCCATTTATCAGGCAAATGGGACTTATATAATTTTTAAATATCAACTCTCATTTGCACTGAAATCACAAATTAGAAAATTGAAATAGTACAACGCCAACTGACCTGTGAGTGCGTTTCTGTATATTCCTAAAACATTCTGTATTTAGTGTAATAAAGATAATATCTCTAACTACGGGGGGCTGTTCCATTCGGTGCTGTGGGAAAAACAGCAAAACAGCCAATTTTGTAATACGATTTTTCAATTATAATACTTTTAATGTAAAATTTAAATTTTATAATTACAAAACAAACGGAATCACATTTCATCGGTAATTGAATATTAAACACGTAATTTTTCACGTAACTTTGAAAAAAAATTCAAAAATATTTCCCGCTAACACTAACACTTTTCACATTGGTGACGCGAATCTCAGGCAGCTCTATTCTACAGTGGAAACGGACAAAGTGTTCATGGTTATAGCACGTTTCTTTTTGTTTTTGTCAGAGCGTTAAGTGCACTGCGGTTAAATCTGTGTCAATTAGCGTAACATAAACTGTTTTATTTAATTCTAGATAGCAGTAACTTCTATGGGGCCTACCCAATGCAGGAAATTATTCAATAGCGGCATGCAAGGCGCCACCAGCGTATTTACAACCCTTTACCAATACGCTAAACTAATCAACTCAACTATAACAAAAACAGACAATATGTTACGTGAACGGAAGCCCAGAACACGGCACGATCCTGTCAAAGAAAAATGTAATTCGACGAAAATTCATTATATACTTTTCTGTTTATCAATTTTGCTTTGTATTCTTTCTAGTGAAATGAAATGTTTGTAAATTGTTGCAATTTCGACGACACAAACATCTGTTTAGCACAAGGCATTCTATATTGGTTTTAGAAAGCGTTATGTTTAATATGGAGAGTGTTATGTAGTTCTTTATATACATGACATGTAAAGTATGTACAAATATCTTTTGTTAGCTAAAGAGTCTTGGTAGTCTCGCAGCATTTTACAGTTTTAAAACGTCCAAACTTACACTCAAGTATTTTACTAGATATATTACATGTTATATTGTTATTTTAATGTACATATTTTAAGTTAATAATATAAAATAAACCTTTTTGTTGACTTTGAATAAGCTTTTTTCTACGCACACATTGATTTTATTGTCTATTCAATAAATACCCGTTCTGCAGTCGAGTTTATGTTATTATGCATTATTAAAACATTTTTCGTTTTTATTTTAAAAACATAAACTTGTAAAACGAGTCACCGAACTGGAGCTTCAGGTTAAGTGTTGTATTCATTTGAATGTTAGGAAAGATACAATTTGTATGTTTCTTTTTTACATATTGCACTGTCTGTTTACCTTAGGTTTAAGTAACAGTGAAATAAAGTTTGATGAATAATAGTTTAATTATCTTTTGAAATAATGTTTAATTGAATCATCACGTTTAGAGAAAACTAATCTTACACGGTAATAACTTAACTTTCAGGGAGCTACCACAAGTGTGGAAAAATTGTTCGCACAAAGTCATTATCTCTATACAGGTACTTACTTTTCAGCGCCCATCTTTTGTTCAACAGCAATCCATCCAAGAATCGATATCCTTGTTCCCTGCACGCCTTGTTCTTCACTTTCCCTACAGAAGTTGTCAAAGCTAGCAGATCGCTGGCCAGCACTACTGAAGATGCATAATCCGGTGACTCTTCAACAGCATGCTTTGACTCCCTTTTACTTTTATCTTCTGTCACTGATTTTGCCGTCGTAACAACGGTAATATCACTTATACTGGTATTTACATCACTAACATTAGTGGCACCAATACGTTGTTTAACTAATTTAGTGAATTTTGTAACAAATTCGTCTTCCAAATCTAATGTAAGGGCAGTTTTGTTAAGAAGAGCTAGTTCACGTTGACCAATTGTTTTATTTGATTCGAGAAATGTGGTAAGTCGGTTTAGAACTCGTTTGTCGATGTTAGTGTTGTTTAGAAGATCGTGTTTTAGATCGACGGCGGCAGCGATGGCGCACGTAATTGTGAGGACGGCTCCGGCCGACAACATTGTGACGTGCGCACGCGTCGCTAGTTCGATCCGACTGAAGCCTTCGATTAACAGTAGTATCCTTAACCGGTCGCCTTATTAAAAACTTCTTTGCTTTTAAAGCGATGCTTATGCTGACTTGCTTATTTTTGTTATGTTGTCGTTGATGCTAAAATTTATGTTTTATTTACATTATTCTAGGATCTGCGTACATTATGTATTAATTACACTCAACCTTGCTCATTATTACTTATTTTATAAGCTATACGAATTAGAAGTAATTATCCACCGAAAAAACTAATAACACCATACAAGAAGGGACATATTTCCGAAAATTACACGCGTGTGTTTACGTTTATTTTTAGTTTAAATCAAACCTCTACATATCGTGAAGCTTTTTTAAAGACTTTGTTTAAAGCAAATGATGAATTCGTTGTTTTTGGAACCTAGCAAAAACAGTATTAAACAAATTACTATGGAGTGTTAAACAGATTTTCTGATTTTAAAAATAGACACACGTTTGGCCGTAATCTCATGTGATGTCAAGCGACGCTGTGACCAACGATGATACGCAATTGTCTAAAAAATACTCATTCACTCTAGCCTTGAATACCACCAAATTGTAGTTTTCGGGAAATTAAGAGTTGCGTGTATTCTATTCCTTTACCGTAGGAATTAATGTATTATTATTATTAATGGAGAGTTCCTGTTTTTCTAGTCGACCAAATTCCTCTTTAATGGTAAAATTCTTGCGCACGAGACAAGAAACGAGTCCAATAGAAAGCCGAATAACCGGCTACTTTAGGACCAGCGCACACTGACGAGAGATATCCCTTACGACACCGCAAGTGTCCTCCAGCGTACCGCAGAGTCTTCTGGAAAGCGTCATCCGCCGACATGCCACCAGTCGCTCGGTTTGGAATCTTTCCAATCAGAGCTACGCAGTCCAAAAGCCCCCGGCGCAATCAGGCAGATTCTGGCGTATATTACCGTACCGGTATTATCATACCGGTACGTTCCGGTATCCCCCAGCGTCCTATTCGATGCTCCCAGGTCTATCTTAGATTAAATTTAATTTTATACTTTATTTCAACTGCAATAGCATAAAGCCTTCCTGTCCGCCGGTTTGCGCAGGTCTTTGGAAGATATTTCAGACTTATTTAATAGGAACTATAGTAATTAGGAGCACATCCGGCAAACTCTTGGATTACCTCAGGATTACCTTTATTAGTTCTTCTTTATTATTTAGTGTTGATATAATCTTCATTACAAAGCAATTAAAACATGCTTTGTTCTTAAATACATAAGTTGTTTTTACGCTGTAATTTCGAATGTTTATATCATGCAACAGACCGGTTTCCGTATAACCCACTTCAAGTGTTAAGGTCACAAGAACTCCATTTGGTATAGATTTATTTGCATGAAAGATTGTAAATTAAGAACGGACAATTGAAGTGATAGTAAATACAATTTTAAATATTATAAGGGATAAATTTACATATTTAGGTAATATTACACGTCCTTATTATCAATAAGGTGCCTCAAATTAAAATTATTCACATAAAATAATGTTCAGTACATTTTTCACGAAATCATTTCCGATGACGATTTCTTTGGCATTTGCATCATTATGGCAATGCTTAGGATGTTTATCCATTAGTGTTCGAAACGGGTACTCAATCTAAAATACATTCTAATTTTTGGTCCAGTGAAGCCAGAGTCAGCAGTTTTGAGTGCGAGCGAGAAGTATATATGAATGCGATCACGTGGCAACAATTGTCAGCCGCTGATCTGGTATAATAGCGTATCGTTTTGGGGCGTTATTAAATAACGGACATTTCTGTTACTTCCAACGCAGACTCCGAACTTATGATAGGTAGGAGTTACAATGAGAGAAAAAGTTCCTACATGTGGTAAGCCGACGTGATTTGAACACGAAATTTATAATACATACTCGATGGATTCCGTTAAAATATATATAAATTAAAGTTAATTAATGAATTAATGTATGTGGCACATACAACACAGAGCAAAAATAAAAATACATCAGATTAAGCTAATGTACAGTCAGGACCATATCAGACTGACACTGGCCTCTGGACCGTTCTTATCGCAAACGGCATGGAGTTGCATTTAAATCTTAAGTGTTAAACTTGAAGTGCTCTTGACCCTGTACAACAGGCGGCTTTATTGCTGAATTGTAATTCCAGGCTACATTGGGATATAAAATTAGGAGATACAAAGGTGTTTCGACGAAAGAATATCTCCTAATAGCAATATTTTAAATAAGTACAATACATAATGATTTATAATAATGTATAAATTTGGATAATAATAATTTATTATATTTACTTACTACTACTAGGGAATAAGTGAAGGAATATAAAGGAAAGACATAATACAATAGACTGGGTGAGCATTTCACTGGCTAAAGGGAAAGAAAACAACCCAAAAAACTCAAAGGGATTTAATAATTAACAAAAACACAACGTTATCTTGCGTATCGGTTGTATTGAGCACCAGTTCGTCCGCTGCCGTTAGCTGTCCATTCCCATTCGTCAATATCCCGATCATCTTGTCTAGAGAACGATCTTCGCGGCACATATTCTTCTCTGTCCGCCCAGAAATCTTCACCGCCTTCTTCTTCGATTATTTCCATGTCTTCTTCATCCAGATGGTTCATCTCGTCTTCCAAGTCCTCATCTTCTTCTTCCTCTAAAATCTCTTCCAAGCCTTCCAATTTCTCTCTTTGAGCTTCAAATTCGAGTTCTACTTCAGGAATTTCCTCTAAAACCTCTCTATGAGCTAGAAGATGTTGCCTACTTTTGATCTGTGGTAAATCTAGAACTTCTTCAGGTTCTACAAATTTACCCTTCACATTCTCTTCTTCTGTTTGTTCTTTATTCTCCGTTACTTGCTCATCGTCTTTACACGTTTCTTCAGTTTCTACCGTTTCCGATTTTGGTGAGAATAAGAAAACTTTATGCAATGACTGCATCGGAATCACGAAGGTCAAGGTTAAGATCACAGATGATAATATGATTGCAGAGATTTCTTGCACATCGATCTGAAAAATTCAATTGAATATGACAAAACTAAAGTTACTTTATTATGATACACTTATTAAACGTGTAAAAATCATTATTTTGATGCATTTCTTTTCCATTCATGATTAAATGTCTGTCTAAAATGGGCATTTTGCTTACAAACTTGATGTTTTACATACTTAATGTCATATTGTAAGTATCCCACATATACGTGCCTGCATATTTAGCAATAGCGCCATTCAAGTACATTTTTAAGAAAAATGTTGTGCAATGGAATCAAAAGTGCACTAATTTACTAACTATCGTACAGAAAGAGTTTTAAGATCTTACCAAGGAGGTGATGGTAAATTCTGTAGAAGACTTGACAGTAGCGGCTTTGGTGAGGAATACAACGAACTGGCAGAGGTAAAGAGCATATGAAAGGCGACTGATCAGCACCAGGGGACGGCAGCACAGGAATTGACTTAGGAATCCTGGAAGAAACCATTTTATTTGAGAGTCTATATTGTAATGTGTGAGTGAAAAAAATACTTCCATAGGTTTCTCACAGGTGGTGCTACGGCAAAAAAACCGTTTAAAAAAAAACTGAGATCGGCAACAAGCATATTAAGCTATTTGTGAGGTCTCCGGTTAACCCCGGTCTGGCAAACAATACGTCTACTATGAAATTACAGTAACAATTATCGCTAGCGCTTAAAATGTTTGTGTACAAAATGTTGTTTCTTCTTGTGACCACCAGGGGCACATACATAATCTCAGTACAGACTGAAAACCGACCTCAAAAGTATGTGGAATTACATCCTATGCCAAGTTTTATTGAAATCGGTTACCGGAAAGTGCGCAAACCCGGATTCATCTCCTAGTTCAACACTATACGGAACTTGACACGGGAGATAATAAAAATCGGTTCTCACTACTCAAAGTATATTGAGAGAGAAAAACGCCTTGAATTGGAGAATAGCAAAATCAACCATTAAAATAATTGCTCCTTATAATAAAATGTAGGCGCTATTTATAAAAATGAATCTTCATGCGTGAACAGCAACCCTTAGAGGTGGATGATTTTGTTCAAAATTAAATGGGACCACTATGGAGGCACCTTCTTTCCAACAAAAAAAGAATCATCAAAATCGGTTCCCAAATACCGGAGTTATCGCGTAACATCCATACAAAAAAAACATACAGTCGAATTGAGAACCTCCGCCTTTTTTTGAAGTCGGTTAAAAATTGTGAATTAATTTACGCGATCGCAGCGATAACTGTCACAGTAAACTAGTGGTAGAGGCACAGTTGCTGGTTCTTTTTTTAGAAATTTTTCTTCGTTTTGTTCAATCTTTATGTCAAAAATAACACCGAACTAGTATCGTATTTTCACAAAAATATGAAAAAATAATACTCAATAAAATAAATATTGCTGTCTATATTGTAGTTCTTTTCAGATTGCTATTTAACAAAACAAACAAATGTAATAAATGGTTCCTATTCTATTCTACAAAACTGTCATCGTATGTATGTTGTTGTTAACTAGTTAACCTTCATCAATTTATTCGAGATTCTCTAAGTTTCTCTTTTAATATATTATGCGTAATGGAAAGTTCTTAACTGCCTTACAATGACGCAAGTTACTGATAGAAAGGACGGACCTTGGTCCGAAATTTCGAATGTGGTAACAAAATGCAAATCTTCTAGAATGTGTTACAGGTTTAAAAGGGTTACATTAGCGTGTTATGCGAAAAATAGTGAGGAGGTTTAGTTCCGAATATAAAATAATTTCCATAAATAGATAATAAATACAACCACAGAATAATTATTGTGCAATAATCACAACAACAACAAACAACACTTTGTTCGTTTGATTACTATATGGCAGATTTATCCAGGTAGAAGACAAAAATGTTTGAAAGTTTTAGAACACAAGCAGTTAGTTTAAATGATAGAAATACTGCCTTATATCATTACCTTTTTTTTAAAAAGCGACTTCAATAGTTAGTGGAATTACAACTTGCCAAGTTTAATTTAAATCGGTTACCGGAAAGTGGGTGAAATACTATTAAACATATTCATCCCCTAATGTGTCACCCTTAGAGGTGGAATATTTTATTCAAATTTCTATGGGACCACTACTAAAGTAACCCCCTTTCTAGCAAAGAAAGAGTAATCTAAATCGGTTCACAAATAAATATTGAAGTAATTACGTAACGTAGACAATAATAAAGCTCCCTTTTTTTAAGTCGATCAAAACTTAGCTTTTACAGACCTATGAATTACTTTTGTTTGAGGATACTGTTCAGCACTTATCAATTCACAGTTATCCCAGATACCGAATAGCTAGAACAAAACTCTATGAAGGACTACTCATGCTTTTGAATCGTGAAAATAAGTGGGAAAAGGTGATAGTTTTATATATATACTAGATAAATCGCTCATTTGGTACTACATTGACGTAATTGTAATTTTGGGAAAATTGAACTAAGTATGCTAATATATCTGTAATATAATAAGTGTCGTAAACACTTTGAGGAAAAATCTGCAGTAATTTGAAAATTATATACATGTATTGTAAAAAATGCACAAAGTTTTATTGACACGTCATACATTTGAAATAATATTAAAAAATCCATTCAAATCCATTTCCTGTAACTTTACAAGAAGTACAATTGCGTCAGTGTAGCACCAAATGAGTGAAATGTGATTGACATGCTAACAAGATAACAAGCATGAAATCTTTATACAGTGTCCTTGTTTATGTGAATAATTTGTTTTAATTTTATTTTCATTTTTTGTTCCGTTTGTGATTTTTGTTTTGTAATTATTTATTTATGTTTTATGTTTGAATGTTTTGTTTTTCTTTTGTTCTATTTCGATTTTTTTCTGTCATGGTGTTATTTGTTGTAAAGAAATAAATGTATTTTCTTTCTTAAATTTTCTGGGTTGCTTCTTAGAAATGAAACTAAGCGAATTTTTCTCGGAACGTATCTCATGTTTATTTATTTTTTTCAAACAAACCAGCGTATAATAACTGTTCCAGTAAATTACCTTGAAATTCGAGTATAATATTGAAACGTAATTATTAGAAAATAAAAATGGCGGAAATGAGGAAAAGACCACGAACTCAAGAATCACACTTTTACGGGACGCTAGGTCAGCGGTTAGTCTGGGTTAGACTGGGTGTACTGAGCAATGTCCCGGGACATTGCTCAGTACACCCAGTCTAGAACCAATTTACAAAATGCTGTTTCCGAAATTGGTTCTACTAGGTTTCGAACCTAGAACCTTGTCATCCAGTGCCTATGTGCAAAACGTTGGGACAACAAGTTCGCCAAAACGTATTTATAACCAGTACATAAAAGAAATAAATGAATTTGAAAAACATATACTCTTACTGAATTGCATTACTATAGTACTCTTAATTAGTATAGGAGATCACAAGGTGAACCCTTTGGTTCACCTTGTGATCTTCTTGAATTCCTTTGAATTGATGTGATTGACACGAAAAATTCCATAAGTATATCTAAAAATAACACCTAACGTGCCAACAAAAAATCTTCGTATACCTACCTTATGTAGGAAATTTTAATAGACTGTTGTGTCAAAGTTTTTTAACAGTTTTTTCTTAATCCACAATTATTTTTAGTTAATATTTATAAATAACACCTGAGGCTGAGTACAATCATCTTAAGCAAAGTTGGATAACTGTAATTGAGTTGAAAAAACAAATATACGCGATTTAAATCCGGAAAAATTGTTTAATTTCCTATGTGTAACAATCGCGAAAACCTAAGAACTCGATATGTAACTGGGTTTTTTTGTAGTTAGGCTTACGCAATGATACGAAGACACCGCACCCTAAGTGTACGTATTACATCCTTCGTTCCCACTAGTACCACCGACAAGAACCACTGTGGTACTATTATCGTGGTCACAGCTGACTCATCGTGGAACCTGTAAGTGGCTAGAAACGGCAGTTTGTTTGAAAAAACAAATAAAACTAATAAGTAGTTTCATTTCCTATGTGTAACAATCGCGAAAACCTAAGAACTCGATAAAAACTTAACAAAAAATAAACTTCATCTAGAATTAAAATTTATCCCGTACTAATACGGTTCAATTTGCTTGGGTCGGACAATAGTGGCTTTATTTCAGAATTTATTTTTTTACAAACGCAATGAAAGCATTTTGAAAAATGTATATCGTATAGTATACGTGTTCTATTTAGTATAGTTGATATTAAAAAATCATTGGTATAGGTGAAGTACCTATTGAATACAGCGGTTTTCTTGTAAAATTTCAAGGTAAGTTTGTGTTTTTTTTCTATCGTGAAAATTTTTAGAAATCGTGTTTTCACACCGTGTAGTAATCAGTGTGTATGCTAAATTTTACTATATATTTTTTCCAAAGTAATTTTTTAAATTTAGCACTTTCACTGTAATGCGTAATCAACCAAAAGCTGGTAGTAAGTTCAAACGCATGCTCCCCGACGTTCCTCACCCCCGCTCCTTCGTTTCACATCGGACTGGTATTTACGCGCTTTCTTTTCTTATAGCACAGAGTTATCATCGTTAGAGCGATCTATTTAAATATTTTTATATTTATACGAAAGTAAAATCTAATGAATTACTAAAAGTCGTGGAACAAAAGTTATTATTTATGATAATAATAATAATAATAATAATAATAACAACGCACACACTCAACATAGCCCCACACTAGGGAAACCCTGTGTCGCGGGTGCCATGGACACACACATAGACAACCACAAATTACACCCAAACTCACGAGAGAAATAAATGTAGGCCATACAAATATTTCTCCCGGCCCGGGAATCGAACCCGGGGACCTCTGCGTGGCAGTCCGGTATGGTAACCGTTCGGCCACGGAGGCAGTTGCTGGATGATGCTAGTAATATAGTCCTGATAGGATAATAAAACATATAATAAAGAGTCAATCACCGCCTCGCGATGCTATTAGAAATCGCACAGCAGTGATTCATGAATGAACAGTCAAGCCTGTTGGAGATAATTTTTAGGATACTGTTGGTGCCGGCACTCATCCTGCGCACCAGGAAGCACACCTCTTACTCATTGTCGCGTAAAAGCAATCAACTGGCGCCGAAGCTAACATCCAATCCTACCGTTAGTATAATATAGTCACAAATGACCTCACGTCAAAAGTTTTTTTATGATACTAAATGATGGGCAAACAAATCGTGCTTCTGATGGTAAGCGACACGTCTGTCCATAACAGTGCCACTCAGAGCTTTAAATCGCAAAGATCTGAGGGGCTTAGCCCACGCGCCCATCACTCTGAGACATAAGTTGAAAAGTCCTTTGTGCCTGTAATTTCACCAGCACCCTTACCCTTCAAAATTCGAACGCAGTAATGATCACAGCAGTGTGGCTTCCCTGGACGAACTCTTTCACAAGGAGCTCTACTGCTACTAAAAGTGCTTTTAACACATGAAAGTACAATTTAA